CAGGCGTGGGGCCTAGGGAGGAAGGGTTTAAAGACAGGGTCTATTAATTGAGCACTGCCGAGGGGCCTCTTTCATAAAGATGGTTTCTATTTACAGAGAGGCAAAGCTCAGGATTTGGGGGATTCAGGAAGGCTGGCTCTTAGAATAGCAAGAGATCACCAGGTTGTTAGACAACATTCACCCCAGCCTTCCCGGTGAACAGGTGCCAGTCATTTTCTTTCCTTGAAGAAAAAAGCCTGCATGTTTAACAGTTCTGATTTTTCTAATGCTCTCTGTGAGCTGTGCCTTCTACATGCTGGGAAACACATGTGAGTCTCAAAGGGAATGCAAGAGCCGCTGGCGGAGCCCTCCAGTCTGGGCTTGCCTCCAAACTTGACTTTCAATGGCAGCCCACCCTCCCCTCTTTAGACCCTCACCCACCCACCCACCTGCCTAGCAGAACCCCAACCCCCCCTCCCTACCATCCCACCCCACCCCCACTATTGTCAGAGGGAGGTAGTCCTCAGGGAGGAGTCTTGCTGGTTACAGACCTGGGCCTGACCTACAAATTAGCACTTTTCTGAGCAGCCTTGAATTGGTCCCCAACTCCACCAGGGCTGTGTCTAAAGCCTGCCCTGTTCCAAGAGCTGGCAGTCTGTACCTGGCAGGCTGCCAAGTGACAGGTGCTCATCTTTCTTGCTCACAGCTCAGCTTCCGGCTTGCGCCTCTACATTAGAGTTTTTAAAAGATGTAGGTGTTTTGTTTTGTCCAAAGAGCACCACAGGCATTCAGGGCAGATGGAGTGTGGGGGAGGGGTGTGTCCCAAACTAGAAGATCCATTTTGTGTCACAGTTGGAAATACAGATCATAGACTGGGGGTCTGGATACCTGCTGCTGTTGGCAGGCCTGTGCCCCAAAGCTCCTTGTCACCACTTATCCCAGAATATTGGGAGGACACACGGATGGACGAGGAGCTGGGAAGGTATCCTCCCTGGAGATGTTGGCATCTGAATGGCTGCATAAAGGCACCTCCAATGAGCCAAGAGGTGAGTAAACTCAGCCCCGGGGGTCCCTGGGACATCTGACAAATAGTCAAGGATCCAGGTGTCTTTCAGAAATGAGGCTATGGAAGGCTTTCCTCTACATGTCACTCAGAAGCAGCAGTGACATTCCAGGAGGCAGCATCAGGTGTCTCTCCAGAGGGCAGGACAGTGTCCTGGTTAAAGTGTGGGGTCACAGGACATGCTCTGTCACTTACTGTGTCCTTGTGCAAGTCAATTCAACTCCCAAGAGCTGTACTTGCCTGGTGAGCCAACTCGGGACACCAAGAGCACCCACTCCAGGCTTAATATGAAGAGAAAGAAGGACTACAAAACTGGGAGGCCTAGGATTTGTCACACCACCAGCATCCAACAGCAGTGGGCGCTATTGCCAACCATCTCAGAAGCAGGAAGCCAGGAGGCAATATTTACATGGTGAACTATGACCCAGACATGATGTCCTAAGCCTTTCACATATGTTAATTCCATCATTCTTCAAAATGCCCCATAAAGACTGGCCATTATCACCCTCCATTTTTAGATGGGGAAGAACCAGAAAGATTTTTTTGTTTTGCCCTGAGTCATGCTAGTGAGTAGCAGAACCCAGCTGTCATATGCATGGTGGCAACTGGGAGGCAGGACCCTTTCTTCTTTGCTGACACCCACTGGTCTCCAATCTAGCTGAGGTCTAGACTGGACCCTGGGAAATGAGAGGCAGACACAGTTCCCAAGTCAGGGAATCAGATGGATACAAACCAGGAAACTTCCACCTAGCAGGAAAAGACGGAATACATTTCTGCAGTTTGCAGCAGGCTCTCTGGAGACCACAGAGTGCCATTTGAATCAAGAGTAACAAAGCTTCCATTTTGCTCTTGGGCTCTGATGGGAAAGTACAGGCTCCCTCTGAAGATGTCGATGGAAACTTGCCTTAGACACGTATTATTCTTGGTAATACCAAATGCCAGGGACTCCTGCTTTCATTATGAAGGCCCAGAATGCCCTATTGACAGCACACTGAAGGCCCTGCCGAGCATTCAGCCCCTGAGGCGAGCCCTTGTGATGCAAGGGCAGTGTAGACAAGGGACACCACAGTCTGACTCCTACTTTGCAAAGATGGACATGGCAGTAGGTCTGGAGCCAGCTACCTCCTGACACAAGGATGGCACTCAGTGGCTAGCGATGACCCCCTTCCTTCAAGGGCTCAAAGACACATCTGAGGGAAGCAGAGACTGATCTTCCAGATGGCCAAGCTCTGCCCCTGCCTCTTCAGACAAATATCAACTTCATCCTTCCAAGGAAATGCCAAAATCCTACCCTGCCAAGAAAAAAGAAGCGGGGCTTGTTTTCAAAGGGAAGGCCTCTGCATTAGGGGAATGGCTCAGCTGCAGCTGGCAGAAGGCTTGCCCCGCATGCATAAACCCTGGGTTCCTTCCCCAGCACCTTATAAACCGGGCATGGTGGCTCACGTCTGTATCATCAGAGTGTAGGAAGTGGAGGCAGAAGAGTCAAAGGTTCACAGCCATCCTGGGCTGCATGAGACCCTGCCTCAAAAAAAGAAATAATTAAAAAATAAAGTGAGGACTTCGTAAGAGGTCTATCCTAGAGGAATGTTCAATGAGAATTCTAAGGTCCAAGGCATTGTTAGCTGCTGAAGTCTGCAGGGTTCAGGACCAGCAGGGACCTGGCTAACAGCCCCACTAGAGACCCCTGGAAGCCTTATTCCTTTATAATTCTCCTTGCCCGGTAAAATAAGAAAATGAGAACTTCCCCATTGCTCTTACCTGGGACCTGCACTGTTTATTAGGAACACAAAGCTAGCCTGATGGGTCCCAGCTCATCTCCAGCCACGGAGCAGAGCACTGCTCCTGCTGGTTGAATGGGCTTCCTTGAAGGTGTGAGGGCCAATGGCTCTACTTAGCTTGTCTACCTGTCAGGCTGCCGCATGCCAAACCATAGCTAGTATGGACTAAAGCCACCCTCAACGACCTTTACACATTGTTCTCATTCGTCCCCCAACTCCTAGCCCCCCCCCCATGCACACACTTCCTTATTCACTTGTGCCGCTCTTAGGCCCATTTGCCTCCAATCTAACCTATGCCCCCTCCTTCCTTTCCCAGGTGTCATCCGGCTTCTGAACTAGATTTGGCCAATGGCAGAGACTGTGAGAACACAGAGGTCTAGGAAGGGTAAAGCAAGGGATAGAATCCTGGCCTTCTGGCAATGGGTCCAAGATCTAACTCTAATGCACAAACTGACTTAGTGGAGCCCATTCTATATGGAGAGACACCTTGCCCAGACTAGACACAGGGGTGTGGGGGTGGGGAGGTGCCTTGGTCCTGCCTCAAGGAGATGATGGAACAGACTTAGTAGGCTTCCTAGGAGAGGCCTTACCCTCTTGGTGGAGCAGATGCTCGGAGGGGGTAGTGGAGGGGGTGGGAGGGAAGGAGGGAGGGGGAACTGGGGTTGGAATGTAAAAAATAAATTAATAAAAAATAAAAATATTTAATACATGCTAAAAAAAGAAAGAATCCTTGGCCCTGAAGGCAGTTCTCAGCTGCTGCCTAGTCCAACTTTCCCAGGTGACCCAACCCCAGATGCAGCCACGAATCTTCTCTATTTCCATCTCGCCTAGAGATGGTGACTACCCTCTACTGAACATAGCCTCTGGCAAATCTCGCCTCTATTTGTATTCTCAGATCTCCAGGGTCATATAACCAATTCCTTACATTATAACCCAATTTCTAGTATTTGGGTGGTTCCTGTTTTCTGGTTGTCTAACCAGAAACTAGTCAAGTTCTTATCATAACTTGTCATTCCTTTATTAATTTATACAGTTACTTAATTCTCGTCCCCACCCAATGTAAGATCCACAGAGAAGAAACTTTATCTATGGTACACATTGTGATACCTACAGTTCCAGTACATGCTTGGCAAACAGTGAAGCATGTTAACAGAAATGAAAACAAGTAAAACTGGTATTTCACCTAAACCCTCAAATTCCCGAAGAGAGAAATGCTATGTGAAAATGATGTGTGTTTCCATCTGTGATCTGTTACCACAACAGCAGCAGGGGAGCCTGGGAGATGGCTCACTTGGTAAAGTGCCCACAGCACAGTCATGGAGTCCTAAGATCTGTCCCCAGGACCCATGTAATCAGTTGGGCCTGGTGTTACACGCTTATAATCCCAGTACACAGGAGGCAGAGACAGGCAGGTTCTTGGAGCTCACTGTTCAACCTGTCTAGCTTAATCAGAGAGCCCCAGATCTCAGTCAGAGACCCAAAAAATGAGTTGGATGTTCCAGCAATTAAAATCTTAAACTGCTCATTCTGAGGGCTTGACTCAAGCAGTTCACAACTACCTGTAACTCAAGATCCAAGGGAGCCAATACCCTCTTCTGGCCTTTTTAAGGACCTATGTTCATACTCTAGCGCACACACACACACACACACACACACACACGCACAGGAATAGGTATTAGGACTGAAGAGATAGCTCAGCAGTTAAAAGTGCATACTGCTCTTCCAAAGGACCGAAGTCCACTTTAGGTGGCTCACAGCTACCTATAGTTCCGGAGTATCAGACAGGTTCCTCAGGCATCCACACTCAAACATGTACATACCCACACATAGACACACATGCCTTCGCATCATTTTAAATGAAAAGAAAACATTTCAATGCAAATCAAGGTGGACTGTTTCTGAGGAACAACACCCGAGGTTGACCTCTGGCCTCCACATGTAGGTGCACACACATGCATGCATACCCCCACACGTGTATTTGCATGAATACACACACAAACAGCATGACCTTTGATCTTTTCAACTGGGCAGACAGCAAGGCATCCTTCACAAAATACCTAGTGAATTAGCGGCCTTGATTAAAAAAGCATCAGAGACCCAGGGATGTGTCCTCTCTCTCAGGTGTCCCAACTCAGGTCACACAACTCTACACACTTGAAAGTTGGGTCACGGGAACAAACCTTTTTGCCGTCTCCACAGACTTCTGCTCTGCCAGTTCCTTCTGGAGCTCTCTCTCCTTGGCTTCCTTCTGTCCGATGGGACAGTCCTCGGGGACAGTGAACAGGGACATAACATCTTTGCTGTCCTCTTCTCTGAGCACCTTAGCGAACACCTTCTCCGCCAACAGCCGGACTTGCTCGTCCAGATCGGACATGTTCAACTTGGGGAATTGGCGAGGCATCTCGGCTGACAAAGAAAGAACAAACATGAGCCTTCCTGGCTTTGTGGATGTCCTGAGTCCCCAAAGAACAGAAGGCCCCTGACCCCAGGCCTGGTCCTTGAGTCAGCTGTGGGATGGGAACCCAGAGCAAGCCCAGCAGGCCAGATTTCAAACTCAGCTTCATAAGTGAGTGGGTGTGGAGAGCACAGGGCGGCTCACATTTCACAAGCAGCAAATGTCAGAAACCAAAGAACGGACTCATCATCTAAGCTCCTCCATTTCTCCAACCTGTGGGAATGGCAGCCCCACCCTCTTCACTATCAAAACTGAGAGGGTCAGAAGAGGGCGCAGAACAGCCCTTCTCAAGACTGCCTGGGGGAGGGGGCGGGCAGCACTGCACCACCCCAGTTTCCTCCAAGAGGAAAGGCCCAAGCTCAGGGTTAACTGTGAGCTTCAGCAGAGCCCAGGGATATCCAGGAATACTCTTCATGCAAGCAATGGGGCCTTGTGCTGCAAAGAAGGACTCGGATCCCAAGTTCCCCCAACCTTCCAGAACTATCAAATAGAACACAATCTGACAGCAACTATACAGGAACTATCTAATGGCAAATACTTCAAAGGCTTTGAAAAGTAACATTCTTTGCTCGGCTGAAAATTAACTTCCTAATAGAACCTTTCCCCATCCTCCTTCCTTCACATGTCTTTTCCCCTCCCCCCTCCCCCTCTCTTCCTTCTTCCTTTCTGTCCTGTGCACTGGGTAAATACACCTTGTCAACAGTCCTGATGCCTTCCCCAGGAGCTTTGTGAGGTATGGGGAGGGGTCCCCCATCACCACCTATTACCAGTTTCTTTAAGGCTATTTCAAGAGACAGTGTTTTCGTTGGCTAGGCTAGATGAGGATGGGATAGGTATTGCTGCTCTCAGTCAAGGACAGGAAGCGATTACAGGGGCAGGGCCCATTAGGCCATTTTGGGTCAGTCACACTCAGGCCTCAAATTTTTCTTATCTGTGAGATTAAGGGATGCTGTAAGTGGTCTCTTGGGTCCTCTTATTGTAAGTGGTGGAATTCTAGGTAGTGGAGAGGTTTCCTGTGTTGGAGGCACTGCTCTTCTCTGTAGCATGTGTGGCTAACTCATGACACACACACAGGAAGGAAGAAAACAGAGCCATGTCTGTGGTCTTGATTCTGAAACCAAATCCTCCCTCCCCCACACTCCAGACATGTGCCTTTCCTGGGCCCTCAGTCTAAGGAAGATGAGAAGGGAAGGGGGAGGAAGGGCCACCTCAGCATCCAACCTTGAGGGTCCAAAGAGCAGCCAGGGACAGCACATCAGCGAAGAACAAGCAGAAGCCTGTCCCCTTCGAGGAGACAGAGAAGCAGAGAGGACTGTGTGGGAGGCTGGGGCCAGCAGAGCAGAGGCTCAAGATGCAGGTGACAGGGCAGGTGCTGGGGCAGGAGCAAAGTGGGAGCCTGTGCCCCAATTCCTAGTTCATCGGCCAAGTGCAGTATCCTAAACCTCAGGTCACATCTCAGAAGTAGACACAGAGAGACCCAGACAAAGGGCAGCAGATGCAACACTGTTGCATCAAGTGAATCTTCCTGAAATCACCAAGAAGATAGCCTGGACTAAGGAAACAGGAGCAGCCACATTTTCAAAACCCTGTGAAATAATTGTAAATAAAGAATTAATGTATGAAATTGTGCTGTGCTTTGACTGCAATGATATAAAAATGAATTCCCTTATGATCAGGGCCATGGGAGTGTTACACCCTCAAAACCATCAGATGGCAGGGGATAGCTGTTTTGGTTTGGGTTGCTTTGTTTTTGTTTAGTTTAAGATAGAATCTTGCTATATAGCCCAGACTAACCTCATATTCGTTCTAGTCCAAGCTGACCTTAAATTTGTAGCAGTCCTCCTGCCTCAGCTTCCTGAGTTCTGGAATTATAATGTATAAGCTGCTATACCCAGCTGGGCTATCTTATTTTAACAATTAATGCTACTATAACTTAATTTCCTATTTTCATTTTGTTTTTGAGCTCACTGTGTAGCATTGACTGACCTGGAGCTTGCTGTTGTAGACTAGTCTGATCTTCAGCTCACAGAGATTTTCCTGCCTCTGCCTTTGCTTCCTGAGTGCTGGTTTAAAAGTGTGCACCACTACACCTAGCTAATTTTTATTTTTATTTTTAAGATACTAAGATAATAGGGAAAAAATGGTGGTCTTAAGACTCCCTAAGAGGAAAATAAGTCAAACTTCTTCCTCCAGTGTTTGACAGTTGGGCCCTCTCCTGGCTGACCCACTCAGAAAGCTACTCTCTGCCTAGCTCCTATCCTGTGTACAACCACCACCACCACCACCACCCCCCCTGCCCAATAGATGCACATAACCTAAGCCAGACACTCCACTCTGAACCCCCTCAGGAAGGGGCATTTGGGACAGCCCTTATACCCAAGGCCCACCATCTCCGTCCCTGAACACTGTTAACTTATTCAAGTCAACCAAACATACTCTTCATCTACATCTTCCTTACTCTTGGTCCTCCCCCTTCTTCCCTAGCTTGAGTCAGTCTCCCTCAAACTGGGCCCCAAGAGAAGATGCATGCTGGTTAGGTGGAGCCTGGAGCAATGATGGAGGAGACACTGAATTCTCAGGGGCCACCAGGCACACAAGACTTCGGGATCATGGAATAGTGCTTCCCATAGGACCCTTTTTTTCTCTCCCTTAATATTTTATTAGTGTAAATTCACTGCGTGAAATACCAGGTTTCAGCATGTCATTTTCATACACGTATGTGATATATTTTAGTCATTTCTCCCACACACACACACACAAACACGCACACATACACATGTTCTCTTCTCTCCTGAACCCTCCCACTGAGATCATTTTCCTTTTAGAACTGCCATGAACCAGCTAAAGGATTATGATGAGTGTCACACACATGGGGGGTTCCAGGCTTTCATGTGGTCCCAGTCTTGTAAATGGACCTGTGTGCAAATGGACCTCAGTGGGCCTCGAACCCTGCTGCACATCTGCTGCCTTCTGGGCATCCTAGACGGACACCCTGCCATCCTGCCCCTCCCAAACTACTAGCACCTGCCAGACCAGCCTTGCTAAGGAAAGCCCACTCTGCAGATGCCGAGTAGAGTTCAGCTCCAGCGGCCCCATCATGCCTGGCTCTCAATCATTTGCCAACTGAAGCCAGCAGGCATGTGAGGCTTAGCTGTGAATTCACCAGTATCAGTTGGCTAACGATACAGCTTATCTTAATGCTACACACAGCACCCTCTAATGAGCGTGAACAATTGTCTAGGAGTTAGGAAGCGCTAAAACGCCACCAGTTTCAACAAACAGCAATTTTGCATAGCACTAAGACCCCACCAGAAAAGGTGGCTCAATGCCACCAAAATCCTCTCATACACTAACAAACTTGTTCCCTCCTCTTGCCAGAACCTCAATGCAGAAACCCATGTCACAGACCTGAGCCTGGTGTCTCCATAACTGATTCTGAGGATGCCACCCAGGCGATGTGCTGCCTGTGCTGCCTGTGCTGCCTGGAGCTGAGTCAGGGCGGGAGCAGCTAGCTGAGTCCTCCCTGCTGTGACTGGGGTGGGAGGTCTCTGCTTTGCATATCTGTGAGCAGGAAAAGTCTGGCCTGGAAATTCTCCTGCGAATACGAAATGCAAATGGAAATTTTCCAAAAGCTCTAAAGGCCTCAGGTAATGCCGGTTATCCAAGGCAAAATGGATGTAGGATCCTGAACACCATGTCCTGGCTCTGCTCCCAGCCTTCACCAGAAGAAATGAAAGCAGCCCGTTCTGCTGCCCGGGGCAGCCACACAGGATAAGCTACCCTCCCTCCAACGCCCAGGCTCCAATGAAAGCTGAGCAGAGACTGGTGATACCATCACCTTGGCTGCTTCCTGTATGAACCCCATTTTAGGCCTGATGGGACAATAGGGCTCAAGTCATCGAGGGGATTCATCTATAGCTGGAACTGCTCTGCCTGCTCTCAGAAGCCCCATCAAGCACCCCACGAGTCGACAGAGGACCCAGAGCCCAACACCACCTCCTTCTTCCCCTCCCCCTCAAGAAAGAGGAAAGGCCTATGAACTGCTTCCTCCTTAGCCAGGAAAGAATAGAGCCCAGAATAAGGGGCAGCCTCCACACAGAAGCAGACAGCAGAAGGGCAGGCAGCTGAGACAAAAAGCCTACCCTAACAAAAGAAGCCATACATCCAGGTGATTGGACAGCCTGACAAGTGCTGCCAGACTCCCTTCAACATGATCACTCTCTGTCTCTCTGCCTCTCTCCTACACATGCATGTACATACACCACTCTCACAGATAGGACAGATGCACCCCAAACCTGACCTGACCAAGTTCACTCCAGCCCTCCTCCTCTCCCCACTACTCACAGTAGTATCCCAAAGTGCAGGCTGGATTCTATAACTGTCCTTTCTTAAGTGACCCACAGAGGACAACAGAGACACACAAAGGGTTTACACAAGCCCTGTGTATACCCTTTCCTCAGAGCTTTAGGAAAATGGGGAGACTGTGGCGATACACACAGCCTTCCCGTGACTTCAACAAACTGTGAGTCTAGGAAATTCCCCTGAGTGAGATGGCTATTTCTATGACGCTGTTGAAATCCTAGGGAAAGGAGCCCAGAAAGAACAGGTCAGTTGTTTACCAGGAGGCTAGCTGTGGCCCTGTTCTGGACCTGAGTCACCACCTCATGTCCAATCAAGAGGCCGTGCCTTGCTGTGCTCACACTGTAAGGCCTGTGAGCCCAGAGCAGGATTGCAGTGCTGACACATGACCTGGTGCTGGACTTTAGCAACCCAGAGATCACAATCCACCTGTCCATACAACTGTTTCATAAACAGTATAGTCAGCAGGCCACAACCTGGAAGTGGGGGGATGTTTATTCTTTAAATAATTTAATGTGCTTATAGCATAGGGAAAGGGGAAGCCAGGTTCTTACAATTATCAAGGGACTGAAGAGATGGCTCAGTGGTTAAGAGGGCTTCTTGCTCTTACAGAGGACTTGAGTTCAATCCCAGCAGCTACTTATAACTCTAGCTCTGACACCCTCTCTGGTCTTTGCACACACACACACACACACACACACACACACACACACACACACACACACACACACACAGAGTGTCAAAAGACAAATGGGACAAATGATTCTTACTGCTGGCATCTTGGGAAGACAATGATATGTGGGGAAAGTTATCAGAGCATCCTGGACCATGTCTCTTAAGTCCAACACACTCAGGCAATTTTATTCTCTACCTTTAATGGGATTTTAGACAGTTTTGGTCTAAATAAAGTATAGTCTGTAGAATCCAGAAGGGAAGAAGACCTGAAAATACTGTTTTCTTTTATAGGGATCCCCACACAATTTCTGGTTTTTTTGTTTTGTTTTATTTTCAAAACAGGGTGTCACTATGTAGTCCTGGCTGTCCTGGAACTCACTACATAGACCAAGCTGGCCTCAAATTCAGATATCCACATGCCTCTGTCTCCTAAGTGCAGCCCAGTCCCCACAATTTCTACTGGCAGATACATCAGTGAGAAGTCCCACAATAAAGAGAGCTATTGAGCACACTTCACTGGCCATCCCATCACGGAAAGGAACACATATTAAAATCTCGTGGCATCAGAGTTAGAAAACACCTTCCACTTGGTCTTCAGTTTCCAGTCTAGAGAAAGCTGCCACCCCAAGACAAGCTAACTGTGAGGTCAACTCCACCAGGTCTAGACAGAGGAGTGAAGCAGATCTGCTTTGACGACAGGAGAAGAACAATGGCCGAGGGCCTTTATGACTAAATGACCAAGGGCAGCCATCTCAGGAGGACCTGTGATGCTCAAGACCTGATGGTTTACCTTGAGACTGCACACCATTGTTTCTCGTGGCCCATCAGATGTTTGCCTCAATGGACTAAATGTCGTTCCTTACTCAAAGTTTCAGTTCCGTGTGTGTGTGTGTGTGTGTGTGTGTGTGTGTGTGTGTGTGTGCGCGCGCGTGCGCGTATGCAGGTGCACTCACCTGGACATGTGGAAGTCATAGGTTGATGTCAGTTTCCTTATCTTTACTGAGCTGGTCACTGTTCAGTTAGCCTGGCCAGAAAGCCCTAGGATCAATCTGTCTTGTCCTAGTACTGGGGTTACAGATGAGCACTGATGCACCCTACTTTTTTGTTTGTTTGTTTGTTTGTTTGTTTTTTACGAGACAGGGTTTCTCTGTATTGTTTTGGAGGCTGTCGGACCAGCCTGGCCTTGATCTCCTACTTTTATGTGGGTTCTGGGGATCTGAACTCGGGTCCTCATGCTCAAGCAGCAAGCGCTTTACCCACTGAGCCATCTTCCCAGCTTCCTCACTTCCCTCCTGATCCCTCCTGAGTGGGTATCAGGATGACCTAAGATAACAAGACCCAAGGCCTGAGTCTCCTACTCCAGAGACCAGGGTGTGTTCACTTTTATCACTTAATTGTTCCTACATGGAAGCAAAGATTGGAATCAAATTATGAGTCATCATGAAACACACCACTCTGCTCTCTAAAAGCAAGGCACAGGCTTTTTATTTCTGTGATGTGTATGGCAAGAGTTGGGCAGCTGCAAAATATCACCTCCACACACATCACCTGTCTCATTTGCGATTATAACCCAGTACCAACGCACTCAGCACCAACACACACACACACACACACGTTAAATAGAGGTATACATAAGACAACGAATGAGTGAATGGTCTAAGCTGAGGTAGACTCCCCCTATGGTGATCTCAAGTCAGTTGTGTGTATGGTTAAGAATATGGACTCAAGCCAGACTACCTGGCATTAAATCCTGTCCCACCACTTGTTTATATGGCCTTGGGCAGATGATGAAACTTTCTGTGGCTTTTTTATTTCCTATAAAAAATAACAATGCCTTGAGATGCCCTGATTAATTGGTCAGCACATGAGAAGTGTTTAGACTCATCCTTAGCTCAGCATATGTATTTTGTAGGTATTATCTGTCAGCATCATTATCTTCATCATCATGATATCCGACAGAGAGTCCAGCAGGAAAATTAATGTGAAGTTTCACACAGACACCAACTCCTTTTATTTGACATTTATCAAACACCATGGTGGAGCTGGTACTCTCCCAAGTTCCTACCCGGGTATGAGAAGACAGAAGCCATTCCTAAATGTGAAGCCAGACCTGAAGGGTGGGGGAGTTATCCCCTCTATCATTGCTACCTCTTGGTGACTGTGAACATCCTGGACCCATCAGCCCGTACCCTCATCCATCCCTCATACCGTGTATTAAAAGACAGAGCCATTGTCTCTTGTCCTAGAACTGAAGTCAGCCTATGGAGGAAATAGATTAGAATACTTGGTAGCAGAACCAGGCCAATGCACTGCTTTAGGAGAGAAGAGTATATTTCTACTTAATTCTAAGCCTACATTTAACTTGCCCAAGATACTGTCAAGATCTGTGATTGATTTAGAAGTCATCTGAAGAGTGACCAGCAAGAGTGAGAGCAAGAAAAGCAGACATTTTATCTCAAGGAACTTCTTGATGTAGGCGAAAGCCTATTAACCTGTATCCAAGACTTCAGGTCTGAGGCTGGACTAAGGCTTGAAAGAGTCTTCCCACCAACCCACCTAGAGAGGACACCCTCTTTAGAGCAAGCCAAGTCCCTCCTTGTTGCTCCCCAGAGGTGAAGCTGATGATGGAACAGAGCCGACAGAGGCTCCTGCCTGGCTCAGAGGCTCCGCAGCAACTCCTCCTTGACTCTTTGAATCCAGGGAGGCATGTCTTCTCAGCGCTGCAGCCTAGACCACGACTGCTCAGGACCATGCTGGACTTGGTGCTACCAGCTTTTACTCAGTAACTTGACGCACTTCTCATCAAGAAGCTTTTGGCTGCATACAGTTTGGGGACAATCTAGTTAGGAGGAGTCTCCTGTCCAGGGCCTCTCTCTCTTACATCACAGGCCTCTGTCAGCCTAGACCAGCCATTAGCAAATATGCTCGCAAAGCAGCAACAGGAACTTCAATGTGGAACCCAACCCACTAGAGCACAAGGCTGTTCTCTTCCCTTGCCCAGTAACAGAGGAGGTAAGGAAGAGGACCTCAAACAACTCATCACCCTCCCATCCCGTCCACACCTCTGCCTCCTACTAGAAGTCCACCCCAGCCAAACACATCTCATTGGTCTCCAGCACCTAGAAACTTATCCAGGAGCTCAAGAGCCAGAATGTCCCGAGTCCTTAAATTTTCCTAAATCTTGCGAATCTGATCTTAGCCAGTAACCCTGGATGCTTCAGGCTCACCGGAGGCCTGTGGAGCCCAGGCCACTGCCGGGTAGGAAAAGGCAGCACAGGACAGGGGACAAGGTCTGGGGTGGGAACTGCAGAGGTTCGGGTCTCTTCGTTCTCAGGGGACTGGACGCAGAACGCCAGCCCAAGGTCGGCGGCGCAGCATCGTGCGCACTCACCCGGTTCGGAGGGCAGGGCCATGGGGGTTGGCTGCCTGGCTGAAGCGCAGGTGCCTTGCCAGGCAGGGCGCACAGGGTAGCGGCTGCAGTGCACTGATGTCTGCGGGGCCGGGCGCGCCGAGCTGAACCCGACCAGGCCGCGCTCGCAGCCGGTGCCTACCTGGCAGGAGCCGGTGACTGGCAGGGACCGAGCTGAGCGCTGCGCGGCAGGGCCCGGGTGGCCGGTCGGGAGGAGCGTGCGAGCGGCCTGCGCAAAGGATCGCACACTACCTGGAGGACCCGCGGCTACCGGAGGCGCTGGGCCGCGCTGCCAGGAGGAAACCTGAGCACCCGGGAGCGGTGGCCGCCCCGTCTTCGGCCGGAAGCGAGCCCGGCTCCACCCGGGCTCCTTGGGGCCGCGACACTATCCGGGGTCAGATACCAACAGGGATACTCGTTCTGTGCCTCGCTACCACCAACCCAGCTGCAACGCCGCGCCCCAAGGTGTTTGCCGACCTCCTCTCCTCCCTACCAGGACTTTCCCAAAAAACGAGATTCTATAGGCTCGAGCCCCACCAGCACACTTACTCTCGGTAGCTAAACCGATCATCAAGCATTGGTTTTCTCCAGGTGTCTGCCGGGTCCCTTGAATCACCTTCCTGCCCCTCCCAACACACAGGCGTACGTGTTTGTACACACACACACACACACACACACACACACACACACACACACACACACACTCCCTTGCTCTCCAGCCTTCTGCGGTCTGGTTTCTATGCCCGCCCCTCAAAGTCCGAAATGACCTCCGAGTTGTCAAGGCCAGCGGGAGCTTTTTGTGTACCCTTCCTTTCTCACCTCTTCCCAGCACTGGAGCCTGCTGACCACGCCTTCCTTCCTGGAACACTGCTCCCAAAGTTAGCACCGGTTGCCTGCCGCCCGCACAACCACGCTGTGTGAGGCACAGTTTCCACAGGCTTGCGTGACCGGTTTCTCAGCTTCCATGGCCTGCTTTTCCATTATGCTGCTCCTGCTTTGTGGAGTCTCAGGATGCCAGCTGCCTGGATCATTCCCTCAGCTCACTCAGGGAATCCAGGCTTATCCCCCCATGGTTTTAACAGCCTGCTGATAGCTGTTGAATCCCATCTTAGGCCCAAATGCTCCAGAGCTGCAGGTGCTGATATAATAGCATCTCAATCAGAGATTCCCGGTCCAACTCCTAATGGCCTGCCTGTGTTTCTAGCCTTGGCATCACCAAGCACCAGTCTTTAAACCACACTGAGGACCCATCCTTGACTTGTGTTTCTTTCTCTAAGTTTCTGCCACTCTGTGTTTTCACCCATTTCACAGCTGGCTCATGCAAGCACCAATTTTTATTCTTTCTACTTCATAGCCTGATGCTTACAATCTGTTATTTATAAATGACACACACATGACTGCTAATATACATTACAAAGCACACTAACAAGTGTTAAAAGATGTGATAAAGATAAACCAATAACTAAAAAACAAAAAGACAGCGTCTCATTATGCAGCCCTGGCTGGCTGGCCTAGAATTTGCTATGTAGACCTTCCTCTGTCTCCATAGTGCTAGGTTTAAAGGCATGTGCCATCAAGGCCAGAAATTATTTTCTTTTTAATAAATAATATGTTGTATCTTTTTCTTTTCACTTTAAAGTTTTCCACAATCTGCTTGGTGAGAGCACTATGATTAAACTAATTTACTAAACCCTAATAATAGTTTACTAAGGCTAAGTTTAATAGTTAATGAGACTAGAAGATATTATTCTGAGTTCAATTAATAGGGATACTTGTTTCTAATGACTATTGTCCCATGTATGTTTGTGCACCATCTGTGTGCCTGGTGCTTAAGGAGGTCAGAAGAGGGCATTGAATACCCTGGAACTGAAGTTATGGGATGTTGGGTACAGAACCTGGATCTTCTGCAATCAGAATTGCTCAACAGTTGTGGGCTGCCCTGCATTAGCCCAAGAGTGGGTCCATCAACAGCAAGACATGGAAGAAACAGAGGCTTGGAGGTCCTTAACTCTCAGGACTGAAGTATTCCCCACTCATAGATTCATGGAATGAAAGAGTCATTCCCTTCAGCTGCATGCCTACTAGTGTCCCCCATACTCCAGTGGATAACCCCAGTCCAACGGGCCTCGTAAACTAAATGGCATAGAAAACTGCCGGGGTCCAGCCTGTATCATCCATACACTGCAAGGGCAATCTATTCTGTACTGATGTCTTTAGGACTGTGTTCAGAACCAGTCAAACAGCCCAGGTCCAATCCTGAGTGGGGGAGTGTGGATCAGGGAAATCCTAGCTACCTATCGGTGTTAAAGATGAGACAGAGACATCTTGTCATCTCAGGAGGGCTCTCAGTCCATACTGGAGATGACTGTTTATTCAAGCATCCTCTTAAATAGCTTTCCAAAAGCGGGGGTGGGGGGGGGGTAAACTAGCAGAAAACATCCATTATCATGTATATAGGGCTGACTAGGAAACACTTCCTTTAACCCTAGAGATGGTCCTAGAACTCACAGCACATACCCAAACCCTCAGACTTTCATAGCAGGTCTCTCCAGTCTTCAGGCACATCCCACTAGCCCTTATGATGGGCATAGGGCCATCCACTGTGACCAGGCCATCCGGAGGTAACCACCAGCCGACATCTGAAAGACAATAGGAGATTCGAGCTCTTGGAATTGAACTGAGGCCTATATCCAAAATATCATATTTGGCCCCAACATAAAACAAAACTAAGTGATGAATCTGGGAAAAGGACTGCAGGAAATAGGACTGGGGAGGATGACAGGCTTGAGAGGAGTACCCAGAATGCACTACATATATGTCTGAAATCATCAAAGAACTAACTTGGTTAATTGAGGAAAAGCATGGTTTACTGGCTAATTTTTGTCAACCTGACAAAAACTTAGATATGTCTAGAAAAAGAAAATTTTATTGAGAAAACTGCTTCCATAAGACTGGCCTGTAGATGAGTTTGTGGGGCATTTTCTTGATTAATGGCTGACATGGGACAGTCCTACCCACAGTGGGCAGTGCCATCCCCAGGCTGGTTGGTGTTTCTGGGTACCTTAAGAAAGCAAGCTGAGAAAGCCATGAGAGGCAATCTAGTAAGCAGCATTCCTTCTGGCCTCTACAGCAGCTCCTGTCCCCAAGTTCCTGCCCTGAGTCTCTGCCCTGACTTCCCTGGATGATGGACTGTAAACTGTAGGCCCCTTTTTTTTCTCCATGTTGCTTTTGGACATGGTGTTTGATCACAGCAATAGAAATAGAAACCCTAGCTAAGACATGGCAAAGACAAGATGGAATGTGTTAGCAACTTACACCCAAGCCTATACCCATCTTGCATAACACATTATACATTCTAAATTCCTTTCTTTGACTCCTTCACAATGTTTTCTGAGTATGCTTTGATATGTGCCTGTGGTAGTTTGAATGTAAGTGGCCCCCATAAATTTACGGGGAGTGGCACTTTTGGGAAGTGTGGCCTTGTTGAACGAAATGCGTTACTGTGGGGACGGGCTTTGAGGTCTGTCTGGCTTATGCCTGGCTCAGACCATTTCCTGTTGCCTGCAAGATGCAGGAGTCTCCGCTACTATTCCAGCACCATGTGTACCCGCCATGATGAGAATGAACTGAACCTCTAAAACTGTGAGTGAACCACCCCAATTAAAAGTTCCCTTTATAAGAGTTGCTGTGGCCATGGCGTCTCTTCGCAGCAACAGAAACCCTAAGTAAGCCAGGGCACTTTATGACTGTCTGCTCTCTTAACAAATGCAGTCACTTTAACCATGGCAAACAGAGAGGCAGTGTCCTCCAAAGAAGCCACCTGACATTTTACCTTTTAATGAGAGCCCAAAGAAGTTTCCCATGGCTGAGGATGGGGCTCAGTGGTAGAGAATGTGTATTGTATGCACAAGGCCTGAATTCTGTGCAGTGGGGAGGGAGAGGGAGAAGGAAAAGCAGGGCATCTCCTAGGAACTCATCAACTCTGTTGCTTCTCTGAGTCTGCTGTTTATATCATTATCTGGGCCTTTGCAGGGGTCTTCCCAACCCACCCACCCTTTAATGAGAACAACTTCAGCAGACTCCATCTATCTACTGCCTGGGCTGGAAGCGGTTTGAAGTCCCCACCCCCTTCTATACTTGAAAGCACCTGGACCAGGGGTTCCCAAGCTCCCTTCCCTTCCCACCTATGTATGATGGACACCAGACTAGGGATGGAGTAGGAGTGCCTATGTGGATTTACTTAGTAGATACTGGCATGAGAAGTTTCTAAACAAAACGTGGTTTGATTCTTGCTTTCCTCTGTGTTTCAGGGGGGCTGCTCCGCACACCTCACTTTAAAGACCAGCCATGAAGCCTTCCCTTCCATTGACTCAGGTCAGTATGAGTACTACCTAGACAGCCTCAGCCACTTCAGCCACCTCCCCCGAGACACCTGTCCCTCTGGCTGCCCCAGCAGCGCACACAACAATCTTTTCTTCAGGCTTCTGTCTCCAGGGGAAAACAGCCCACCACACTGGGTCCTCGCCTCCAATGAAGTGTTCTATTCACTGAGCCCTTTCGGCATCTTAGAGGACACATGGAGCCAGAGACATGGACCCCTCCCCCAGGAAGTACTTCTGATGCACTGGGGGTGGAGCTTGCTGAAGCAGTTAAAGCAGGCATGATGTCCTCTGGGCCGGTGCCCCACTATGAACATGGACACGTTCAAGATGGGTGTGCTTCCTCTCATGGTCTCCTGTGCGAGGAGCCAAACTGCACAGCCCAGCCCCACAAGGAGGCCGTAGGGGACGGCTCTGCTTCTGAGAGTGTTTTAAAGGTGCAAGCAAGCCTCTGTCAGCTCCCAACCTGAGTGGCTTGAGGGCAGCTACTAATTGAATTGAGTGGACTAAAGTCATGGCATATGGCCTGACAGCAGGGAAGAAACAGGGCAGCAGGAATACATAGTAGTTGGGGGGAAAGTGCCCAGGACAGCAGTGTGGGCTCCCGCCATAGAGGGACATGGTATGGTATGGCATACCAGAGGCTGTGGTATGCAGGGTACAAGTCTTTCCCCACACACACTTCAGCTGCAGACTGATTCCTTCTTAGGACTCCAACTCCATGGAGACAAGCCAACCTGAGCAAGCTGGCATTGACTGGCAGAAGGTGGAGTGATCCCTTCACTGTGAAGTGCCAGTTCCTGCTTTGTGGGACGGGATCCTAAGAAGAGCCAGTCCCGTCTGAGCATTTGAGAGATCAGGCTGGGGAGTTTGGCCCTGGTCACAAAGCACAAGCTCCTGGGTCTGTGACAGGAGTGGAGAGGAAGTTCATCGGTGTCTCAAGAGACTAGGGCTGGGGCAGGTAGACAGCTCGGGAGGATGGGCTTTGGTCTCTTGGGGACCAGGGTATTTGGGCTTAGGGCCCTCACTTTTCTGCGGATTGTGCTGAAGGAGATTAGTAACCGGGTTTCGAGGTTGGGGCCCACAGCCTGTGTTTCTCCTTGGTCTGAGAGCACAGTGGGTGCTGATGCTCTTTGGGGAAAATGCCTAACAAGCATATGGTTTCTTCGATTAGATGAAGTCTAATTAAATTAGGAGTCCCTTTCTCATCCAAGAATGGCCTGCTGTCACTGCACTCTCTCCAAGACTCAATCCAAAACCAAACTAGGTGACACAAGGAATTAGATTCTGGCAAGAACACAGTTGACTCCTCATACACAGGAATTACAGCCTTAAATATCCTTGCTTATTTAGCCCTTTCTTGGAACTACTCTGAATCATCAGCCCTCAATCTCCACTATCTCTTGCCTTGTGGTTTAAAAGCTGGGTTTCTAATTCTAATGTGGTTCTCTATAATGTTTGGGAATAAGGAGAGGGAGGTGTGAAGAATTCAGACAAGGCTAGGACCTTTGCTTCCCAGAGATGAGCTCGCCATATTGATCTAACTTCACATCACACCACACCACACTCATACATATATCTCTATTAGGCCATACTCTTTCCCAGTGTTCCTTCTAATACTCCCAATCTTGGACCATCCTCTTCTCTCTACTTGGCTCAGGACTAACTGTCCAACAACCAATCAGCAAGCTATCAAGCAAAGGCTGAGCAGAAGCGGGGTATGTAACTGTCCTGTTGTACAGTATTTG